ATAAAACTTAAAAATATTCAAGTATCAAAAGACTATTTCAGATCAAAGTTTTAAAACAAGTCATTAGCAAGCTGCTGCCACCCAGTGGAGACTTTTACAAAAGTTGCGCACGTCCTCTGAGCTGAGAACGGAAATGAAGCCACCTGTGCTGGGGACACTTGGGGCAGGGAGAGTGTGGGCAGAGAGAAGCCAGGGAAGTCCTGGCTTGTGGAAGCCAAACAGGAGAGCGTGCACCAGGAGGGCAGTCAGGATGCGGGGGCGAGGTACCGCTCCCTGGAGGACGAGCCCTAAAGTGCGTAGCCTGGGACTCCCCAGGGGTCCGGTCCCCCAGCATTTCACAGGCCTCCAGGAGCTGCCATCCAAGGAGGACAAACAGGGCAACAAAGACCCATTTCTGCAAAAAAACCCTTCTGGAAAAAAAAAAGAAGAAAGCCCTGAATGGAGTCATAGCGCTACTCAGTGCTGACTTAGCCTCTCAAACCCTGCTCTAAATGGAGTGTGGATTCTAGTCAGGGAAACGGGAGAGGCCCCACCCACACAGGGACAGGGCCTTGGCCCCACAGGATGAAGCAGCAGCGTTTATTCAAGATACAACAGTGAGGGAATCCGGCCACGCTCCCTTCTCCCCGGAGAGGGCGCATCTTGACACATGATCCAGTAGAAATCTTTTAAATTCTGATAAGTTCAGTTCATAAAAACCACTCCCTTCACCCTGTCCCCCAGGGCCAGGCCTGGACTCTGAGATGCACTGGCTTGGGGCGCCCTCGGGTGGCTGTGTGCAAAACCACAGTCTGAGGCCTGCCTGGGGCACCCAGACCTGGCTGGGATCTCCCCAGGCCAGCTGTCCTTCTGCTTTGGGTGGCTGTCTCTTGGCAGATGGCCCGCCGCTTGGGGGTGGCCCAAGGATACCGCAGGAAGGTTTAATTCCCGCTCTACGGATGGCCCCATTAGCCACAGGTTTCCAGGCCATCTATCCGCCTCCTGGAGATGGACGGGGGTCTTTAGACTTCGGTGGAGAACAGGATGCTCTGTCTCTTGCTGTCCGGGGCAGGGACGGCCTCCAGCTGCAGGAAGTACAGCAGCACCTGGACCTGCCCGGACAGAGTGGGGAGGTGAGAGCAGCTCAGAGGGGTGCTCACAGCTGCTGGTGGGGAGGTCTTTGGGGCCCAAGCCCCCAAGACCAGCCCAGGAGCTGAGGTCCCTGCTGGTGCCGTGAACCCCTTACAGTGAGACAGGGGTTGGGTGGGGTCCTCACAAGGCATGACTGAGGGGGATGGTTTTATTTCAGAGCCGCACAGGGCCTTGCTCTGTCACCCAGGCTGGAGGACAGTGGCTCCACCATGGATCACTGCAGCCTCTAACCCCTGGGTTCAAGTGATCCTCCTATGTCAGCCTCCCTGGTAGCCTGGACTACAGGTGTATGTCACGATGCCTGGCTAATTTTTCTATTTTTTCTAGAGATGGAGTTTGCTACATTGCCTAGAATGCTTTCAAACACCTGGGTTCTGTTATTCTGCTGTGACCTCTCAAAGTGCTGGGATTACAGGTGTGAGCCACCAGGCCTGAACAGTCAGGGTGGTGGTAAGCCCCCAGCAGGGTGCACCAGCAGGGCCAGGAGGTGGCCTGGACCCCCCATTAACACTCCCATTCGTGCAGACCTAGGCAAGTTTCTCTCTGAATCTTGGCCACATACAAGGCAAGTAGGAGGATGGGCAGGACTCGGGGTGGCGCAGGCAGAGGCCACCCCTGTCAGGTCGGGTGGCATGGGCTGGAGCCTGTCTTCCCATACCTGGGACATGACCTCCAAGGACCAGCTGTCGGTCATGGTGATGGGCTGGCTGGGGTTGGCAGGGAGCTTGCTCTCCTTCTCCGAGGGCCGGAGCAGCGTGGGGCCAAAGACCGTGGCGAGGTTGTGCAGGGACATCTTATTGACTGCCTCCTTCTCTGCCACCCTGTCGAGGACCAAAGCAGAGGGGGCTGCTTCAACACCACCATCAGGAGAGAGGCGGAAGGGCTGGGCCGTGCTGGAGTCCTCAGGGAGGGAGCGACCTCGACCCTGGCTGTGCTGCAAGCTGACTCCAGCCCTGGTGCTTCTGGGTCTAGGTGGCCCAGGACGAGGGGCCCAGGATGAGGGGCCAGCTCTGGGCTGGTGGGGAGGTCTCCTCTATGATCTGGGTGGGAGGGAATTGGGGAGCTCAAGTGCACTGGTGGCCATGGCGAAAGCTCTGAGCTCTTTGTTAAGGCCACAGTGCAGAGGGAGAAGAGTGGCAAAGAGGAGAGGCTGGGCGGGGGCGGCAGAGGCACTAGTCCCCAGAGGTAGTGAGGGACTGCAGGCAGGGGTCGGGAGGAAAGGTCCTCGGTACTGGGGGTCTGACGGGAGCAGTGGGGCACCCTGGAGTCCTGGGCAGCCACGGGAGAGCTGGGCTACCTTTTCAGATGGTCCAGAAGGAAAAGGAAGGTGAGCAGGTTGGCCTCTGGCAGGGACAGCAGCAGGTTGAGCATGCAGCTCTCCTTTGCAACCGGGTCTGAAAGAGCTGCAGAAGGCGGTGGGTTACTCCTCCGGGTCACAACGAGCCAGAGCCCTCTCCTGAGGTGGTCACATGGCACACCCGGGACTCCTGTCCCTGAGCAGCCCAGGCCCCTCATCATCCTCACTCCCACAGTGCTGGCCCCCAGTGAGGACCCTGTGAAGGGCGCCTGTGTGGGGTGTGAGCCACCTGAAGGAACTTTCTCTGCCCCACAGGGGTCAGTAGCACCTGGAGAACAGCAGCAGGAGGTGGCGTGAGAGCAGCCGCCCACGGGCAGAGCCGCGCTTGGGAAACTCCCGCTGCCACCCCATCCCCAGGCAGCCTAAGGCAGGGGAGGCTCAGCACGGAATGAAATAAGGGAGGGAGAGACACAAGGAGGTGGGAGGTGGGAGGTGGGAGGGCCCCAGCCCCACCAGCTACACAGACCCCCTCATCACCCTGGACACCACAGGGGCACCTGCAGGCTGGGAGAGCAGGTCCTCCGTGCATGGGCCCGGGAGGCAGACCTGCCCTAAGGGTGATGTGAAGGCTACATGGCCGCACGCGCCAGCCTTCCGCTTTAGCCATCAGCATCTAGGTTGACTAAGGGTCAGGCCAGGACTGAACCCGTGCTCGACAGGCCCAGGACCTGTGGCTACAGCACCCGGGCGCCCTCATTCAGTCCTGGTCTGCAGAAAGGAGGACAGCGGAGTTTGGGACCCCACCGCACAGCAGTGCTGACCATTTCACCCTCTTGGTCTCCTGGAGGAATAGGGACGGCAAGCCCTCTGGGAACGGGCGAGGGCTTCAGGACAGGCTGGGTTCTGGCCGCTGCTTTCTCAGGTTGGTTAAAATGCTGACCATGGCAGAGGTGGCACAGCTCGGGTTCCCACGCCTCACTTTTCACAGCCCCCAAGGGCAGCAATGGACGAGGAGATGCCTCCCAGGACGCCAGGGCCTCCAGTGCTCACCAATGCCCTCAGCGAAGTTGGGGTAGAACTCGTCGGTGAAGAGGGGCTCGGGCAGCTCACGGAAGTAGAGCTTCAGCGTGCCTGCGATGGCGTTCACGTCCATCTCGCTCATCATCACCGACACGTCCTTGTTATCTGGAAAGAGAACGGAAGTGCTGCAGCCTCCTTGAGGATCCCCAGTGCGTCTCCCGCCATCCCTGCCTTGGCTAACGCACTGTCCCTGCCGCGCTGACCACTGTGCGGGACCCTCCCCTGCTGTGAGCAGCTTATCTTACTCCTCCCAAGAGCTGCGTGTGGTTCTGTCTGTGCAGCGTTGATGCAGGGGCGTGTGCATCCCCGGACCTCTCCCCTGCTTGGCCCGACGTGATGGCCAGGAGGAGCCCAGCGTGGCAGGACACAGAACCTGCATGGGAATCGGGGACTCCGCCCTGTAGAGCAACCACCCCTGCTCCCGTGTCTTCTGATAGCAGGAAGGCTGTGGGAGCGACTGATGGGTTTCCGTGTTTGAACTGGTGTCTTGTTTTTGGACCCAGTTAGCCACTGGTGCTTACGTCCCCACCACAGGCCAGGTCCATTCTGGAGCCCCAGAGGGAGCTGAAACTACCCCAGGGCCCACCCAAGGGTGCTGGGCATTCTGGAGGTCCCGGTAAGGGTGGATGGTGAGTGCCCCAGAGAAAGTTCTGCAAGGCACAAAGTCCTGTCGCTGTGACGACGCTGGGCAAGGACCCTCTGGGGTCTCAGTGCCCTCCCCTGGCATTTGGGGAGGTCCTTCATAGCCTGTGAGGGTTGGTGAGATGGAGGTGGAGACGCTGCCGCCCCGGCCTGAGCTGGGTCCATCAGTGCCCTCTGCCCGCTGCATCCTCACACAGGGCAGTGGACAGAACACACTGAGTCCTGGGCTTCACAAATCCTGCCCACCCCCACGGCAGGAAGGCCAAGGCCCCGCAGAAGCCCCTAGCCAACCTTCAAGCAGCATGGGTGGGTAGGTGGTTTAAAAACTGGCTTCTATGGGCTGTGTGTGGTGGCTCACGCCTGTAATCCCAGCACTTTGGGAGGCTGAGGTGGGTGGATCACGAGGTCAGGAGTTGGAGACCAGCCTGACCAAAATGGTGAAACCCCGTCTCTACTAAAAATACAACAATTAGCGGGCTTGCTGGCACCCCTGTATTCCCAGCTACTTGGGAGGCTGAGGCAGGAGAATCACTTGAACCTGGGAGGCGGAGGTTGCAGTGAGGTGAGATTGTGCCATTGCACTCCTGCCCGGGTCACAGAGTGAGACTCCATCTCAAAAACACAAAAACAGAAAAAACTGGCTTTTACAGAAGCTCCTTCTACAACTCTTGTCTTCTCTTTCTTAAAAACCATAGAACAGTAAATGGAGAAAAGACACAGAGAAGGCTGTGACATGCCCGGGCTGTGGAGCGCTGTGAGATCTCATCATGGACACTGCCGCCCACACCCCCTCCGCCCTGCCCAGGCCGACACTCACTGACGTCGAAGGCTGCCTTCAGCGCCTGGATGTCGGTGGCCACTCCGGACACGCGGTAGATGCCCACCTCCTCCATGCCGCGGCGCTCAATCTCCTCCACGCACTGGCGCACGACGTAGGGCACCTTGGACCTCTCTCTCCTGCGGGAGGAGGGCGTGTTCTCCGTGTCCTGGCAGCCCCGCTTGGGCCGTGGCACAGGAGACCTGCCCCGTATCTGCACACCCGAAGCTGGGGTGAGGATGATCAGGAAGGTCCCCAGGTCTGGGGCTGCACCAGAGCCTTGTGCGTGCCTGTCCTCCCTCTGCCAGCTCAGTCCTCATTGCGTGCACTTCCTCAGGACCTTTCTAAGAGGCTGAAGCAGCCAGAACCCCTGCGAGTCACACGTGGTCTTTGGGGGAAGGCCAGGAGGCCTGTCTAATAAAGTCAGCACAGGAAAGGCATCTGGAAGATTCCAGGCCTGGGGTTAGCAGCCTGTGCTCCAAGCTGGGACATCAGACCCAGTGTTGGTCCTGCCACCCATGTGCTATGCGAGAGGAGAATCTCTGACCCCTGACCCCTGCTGCTGGCCTTAAACATCACACGAATGAATGAAGGGTTGCCTCAGCACCAGAGCTCCAAGTACTGCGATGCTAAGTGCTTTCTTCCTGAGTCTTAGCAGCGAACAATTCCAATACCGCCTGCCACACAGGACACTAGAGTACGAATATTTCAAAGTTAGAAGGCAGTGTTGTGCTGAGGCCTTAACTTTTTAAGTTTGGGTTTTCAACTGGATTTAGGAGCACATCAAAGCTGCCTCTCAAGCCACTCTCTTTAGCAGTGCTCATCTGGGGGAGCTGCTGATGGGAGTCCTCGCTGCTCATGCCCAGAGCTCTCCCAGAGTGCCACCAAATGGCTGCCATACAGCTGGGGGTAGGAGGGGTGTTTACACACAGAAAGGTGTCCCGGGTGTGACTGATGGAGGCCCCGGCCCACATGACCGGCAAGGTCAGGGGCCCAGCCGGATTCCATCCTGGGGAAGCAAATGAATTCTCGGAGGAATTAATGTACTTTCAGCTGCTCTCAAACCCACAAACAGGCTTCTCCTGGCACTGACTCGTGACAAAGGGGCAGGGGTTATGACCATTCAACAGGAACCCGGGACCATGACAAATTCCAAGCGAGGGCAGAAACCCTGCACTCAGGCAGTTCCTGGAGCCAGCCTACTGCTTCCAAGCAAGGCGGCAAGGACGTTCCTGAGCTGGTGTGGAGTAAACACCGGAGGGAGCTGAGCACACCGACTGCTCCCTGGGCCTGACCTCACCATGCAGCCACCACGCACAGAGAAGGGAGAGCTGAAGGGACGGGCGCCCTCAGTGCATGAGCCCAAGCCCCTCCCCACTCACTTGGTGACCACGGCGATCTTGACTCCGAAGACCCCTGTCTGTTTTCGGGATGGCATCCTCTTCAAGCTGAACTCCCGGCTGGTGAACTTGACCGAGAGCTTTACTTCAATCTACAGTGGGGAGAAGGGGCACAGTCCTCTAATCCTCCTGGTCCTCACATCCGAGGTCCAGAGGGTCCCTGGGGATCTTGTCAAATATTTCAAAGCTCAAGGCATGCAGAGGTCTCAGTGTGAGGTGGGGCCACTGCTAGGGGAAGCCTCTAGTCTACTTCAGCAAGAGCCGGGACTGTTAAAGGAGGCGTCAAGGACTGGCTTCTGCAGAGCCGCCTCCTACAATTCCCGCTGCTCCTCTTGCCTGCTTACTTTTTTTTACATATAGGATCTCGCAATGTTGCCCAGGCTGTACCCAAACTCTTGGGCTCCAGTGAGTCTCCTGCCTCAGCCTCCAGAGTAGCTGATACTATAGGTGCACTATGCCTGGCTTCCTCTTTCTTAGTGACGATAAAAATTAGGTAGGAAAGAGTATTGAGACTAATATAAGAAAAAGCCAAGAATCATCAACTAGTAACATTTTACCATAAATGCCCAGCCCTTTTTGGATGTGTCATTGCTTTAAGGTCTAAATCTTTCGGGGGTACCTAAGGACAAATCAGGGGTCTCTATTTACATGGGCAGCTCCCAGGTCCCTGAGTGGAGGCCCCACCTGTCCTGGTGGTGCTATGAGACCTTTGTTCAAGGAGGGATGCCCAGGGCATGACCAGCAACTGCATCCCACCCAGCGAATGAAGATTCCCATGCATGGCGATTCTGCTCTTCGGGGGCCCTCCCTCCTCCAACCAGGCTCTCTTTCAGGTGCCAGCTCAGACTTAGCCACCTCTGACCGATTTGAAACAAACAGAGGCCACCCTATCCTTCTGGGGGAAGTGGGCGCCAGAAGTCCCACGGACACATACCCCATTCATGGCAATGACGGTGCGCTGCCAGTCTCTGTCCTGCAGGGCCTGTGGGTCCAGCTGAAAGCAAGGAGTCATGATTGGCAGAGGCCCTGGGTCTGTTCAGAGGCCCCACCAGGCTTCAGCCCATACCCACCACTTCTCCCCACCTTAGTCAGAGGCAGAGCCCAACTGCAGCCCACATCTCCATCAAAGGTTGAGAGAGGTAGAGTAAGAAGGGTACCTGCCAGACACCCCCGGAGCCCAGGGCCCCACTGCTCCCAGAGCCCTGCTGCCTGGGGAACAGCACCCCCTCCTCCCTCTGCCCCTCCCACACGTGACCCATTCATGAAGGCTTTGTCTCCTGCTTTATGGGGAGCACAAGCTCCGTCAGCATTCCTGGGTATGCCAAGATCACCGGCTGGGCTCGGTGAATGAGCAGTACCTTGGGTGGGGGGGTGTCTTGTTAAAAATACACCTTCCCAGGCTCCACGTGCAGAGAACTAGACTCATAATCTGGGAGGGACCCGGGATTTGCACAACTAGAAATCCCAGGTAGTTCTGGAGTGAAGCCAGGTCAGGGAGCCACCATCTCACTCCATACAAGGCCACTGCATCTGGGCTTGTGTTTCCATCCCTTTCTTCGAGGGATGCTTCATTTCAGCTACAAGGCAAGCTGCCTAAGAGCAGGGACCACACCTCATGATGTCTGCACACATTCACATGGATGCACATGTACACACACACACATACACACACACACACGCACACACACACACACACACACACACACACACATACACGACAGTGCTGAGCACAGCACCAGGCCTAAAGAGGGGCTGAAGATCGGCATCATATCCACTGCAAGGGACCCTAGAGGCCACAGCCACCTGGGTCTTCTGCAGTGAAGTGACTAGAAAATAAGAAGAAGCTCTGGAGCAGGTCAAAGAGCCCAGCCAGCTGCCACTACCTCACAGGCGCGTGCACCTGGGCCTCCTTCCTGCACCCGCTCAGCAAGAAGGCTCACCACAGGCACATCTGGGGGGTGACCCCCCCTTAACTACCCTTCTAGCTCCTACTGGTGACCATTTCCCAAGGATCTGAAATGTACAGCCAGAGTGGCACGGAATAGCAAAGCGTGGCAGGATGTCTCCCGCCAGGGGTTATGTGGTCACAGATTATTATGCTGCATCCTGCCCTGAAGGTTTTCAGAGGCCACACTCCAGGTGTCAGAGACCTCACCCTGAGAAGCAGCGTCCATGGGCAGGGACCAGTCAGTCACAAGCCACATACAAAAAGCAATCTCTCAAGTGGCACTTTTCCCAAGAGTGAACCCTCAGCAGAGGCAGGAGAGGATAACATGAGGATGAGGAAAGGGTGCGCTTTCTCTGGAAAGGGAGAGTTTAATACCACTGCGGGGAGCTTTAAAAAATTGAAACCTCGCCTGTAATCCCAGCACTTTGGGAGGCCAAGGCAGGAGGATCACCTGAGCCCATGAGATCTGCCTGTGAAATATAGTGAGACCTTGTCTCTATTAAAAAAAAAAAAATTCAAAAACATTAGCCAAGCATGGTGGCATGTGCCTGTAGTCACAGCTACTTGGGAGGCTGGGATGGGAGCACTGCTTGAACCTGGAAGGTGGAGGCTGCTGTGAGCCAGGATCATGCCATTGCACTCCAGCTTGGGCAACAGAGCAAGACTCTGGCTCTAACTAACTAACTGGAAATGCAGAAACACGTTAAGCAAGAGACAGTCTTCCCTTTCCTTCCAAGAACAGCCATCACCGGGCCCCTCCTCCCTTGATAACCCAGAAGTAGCAGAAGCAGCTGACAAGCAACCCAGAATCCAGGTAAGCAAAGACAGAAAGAGAAACTGTCCAGACACCAGGCAGCTGCCCTCCGATCCCCACTGGAACCGCAACCCACATGCCAGCCCACCTTGCCCTTGCACACCAGGTTTCGAATGTGGGTCCACAGGGCGGTGCCGCGAGCACGCAGGTGCTTCTCAGCGGAGGCTGCCCGGCTCTGGCCCGCCCAGCTGGGGTGGAAGTACCGAAGGAGGCCCTGCACCGCGGCCGGGGGGGACGGCGACTCTCGCATGCTTGGCCCTGCTGCTCTGGGAAGCTGGTGGAGCTGAACGAGGGCTTCCAGCCTCCGCAGCCTTTTGACCAGGCTTTGAGGGAAACCCCGCCCCGCAGTCTGGCTGGCCAAGGTCAAAGCTTCCCATCACCCCTGGGTTCCACTTTTTTGTCTGTGTGTGGGAAGAACATCCTCTCACCCCAGCCTATTGGTTACGGGAATTCCAACCTGTCTCCATCTCCTCTAAAGCCCAGAAAAGCTGAGCTTCCTTCTCTAAGTGGCTAGTTTCCTGTTGCCCAAGTTTGGAGACGCTGAGTAAAGTCTGACTGGTCGGCCTGCCTCGTGCTGGAAGCAGTCTAGACTGCCCAGAATCTGCACACCCCCAGCAGGTAACCACAAGAATCACACGCAGTGCCTCTGACAGACCCAGGGCGGAGGGCACCTGCTCAGGTCCTACTCCCCCAGAGCAAGCGCAGCCCTGGGCAGGGCTCCGGCCAGCATCCACTCCCCAGCACTGGTGGTATCCATCACCCACCCCAATCTGGCCCTGATGCTGTCAGGTGGGTTCTTTACCAGGCCCCTCTCTGTGACTCCCAGTGACTGGAGACCACACTGTCCGCCTCTGGGCACCAGATCACAGCCACTGATTTTTGGCTCCCATGGGAGAGGCTGTCCCAAGCTGGCTCTGCTCCAAAGAACAGAGTGTGCTTCAGAGCGGAAGCCGTGTAAAAAATAGCATGATAATGAGGCCTGTGCCTCGGCTCAGCCAACCCCAAACATTGCTCAAGGCTGGCACGCTCTCTCGTGCAGTTATTTAAAGCACCAGAGAAGTAAACAAGCAAAAGACTAGGCTTTGGAAAAACAGATGACCAAGTGGGAAACAGCAGTTAAGGGAAAAACGGAGGCACTCCGGATGCTGTCTGGGGTCTCCCTGGATTGCAAGGTTTTGGTGAGGAATACGCCTGCTGCCTGGCTGGGGGCCTGTCTGCTCACACACAGTGATCTCAGGAGGGTGGACCAGGTCGCTGCTCATCTCCCACTGGCTTGGGTAAGGCAGGGGCCTTGAAAGAATGACTGTGGTCAGTGGGCCTAGCAGATGGTGGCCTGGAGGTCTGCCTAGAAAACTACCCTGCACATCCATCCCAGGGAAGTGGTGGGGTGGGGGCTGGGGAAGGTCGAAGCCCAACCAGGGCAGGTGTTGCGTGCTGCCCTGAAGCGTCACTGACCACTTTCCATGGTGGCTCTGCTGGGGGCCCAGCACTGCCCTGCTTGCTGTGTAGTCAGCATGGCTGGATTGAGTCACCAATGGACAGCCAGAGGACATCCTCTCGCCTACCCTCAGCAGGGGTAGGATGGGGGTTATGAATAAATCATCCAAAGGAGGAAGTGCTCACTCACTCCTCCCTTACCCCCTTGTAGACAACAGCTTCCTCCATGCCCATCGTCACCAGCCTGGATGGTGCAGCAGGGCGCCCCTGGTTGTTCCTGTATGAGCCCTGTGTGTCTGCACCGTAATCTATTCCCGGGGGTGGGTCTTTGCTGAGACTACCAGAGAACCTCAGTGTTTACCAGGAGAGAGATGACAGGCCTCCTGCTGTGGCCTGTGACCAACCACAGTCTGCTCTCCTGAGATCCATCCTACTTTTATTTTGAGAGAGAATCTCGCTGTCACCCAGGTTGGAGTGGAGTGGCATGATCTCGGCTCACTGCAACCTCCGCTTCCCAGGTTCAAGTGATTCTCCTGCCTCAGCCTCCTGAGTAGCTGGGATATAGGTGCCTGCCACCACGCCTGGATAATTTTTGTATTTTTGGTAGAGACAGGATTTCACCATGTTGGGCAGGCTGGTCTTGAACTCCTGACCTAAAACAGTCCACCCACTTCACCTCCCAAAGTGTTAGGATTACAGGCATGAGCCACCGTGCCCAGCCCCCATTCCACTTTTAACTCTTTGCTACTCTTCTTTGATCCCAACCAGTCTCTAACATCACTGCAAAAGGAACACCCCTCTCCCTCAGGGTAGACTATAAGCAGCATTGGTGCGGATGTGGAGATACGGGCTCTCATACATGGCCACTGGGGACGTTAAGATGGTGTAGCCACTCCAGGAAACGTAGGGCAGTTCCCCAGTCACCTTGCTGCACAGCCCAGCAACTCCACTAGGTGTCTACTCAATGAAAGAGAACATACGTCCATATAGAGACTTGTACCAAGGACAAGTTCATGGCTGCATTAACCATAACAGCCCAAACTAGAAGTGATCCAAGTGTCTGTGAAATAGTAAATGCAGAAACAAAAACATGGTATATGTCTGCAGTGGAAAGTCATTCAGTCATAAAAAGGAATGAAACAATGTTAACACACAAGGCCTCAAAAACATAATGGCAAGTGGAAGAAACCAGCCAAAAAAGGCCACTCTAGTATAATTCCATTTTTATGAAATGTGAAGAATGGGCAAATCTGTAGATGAAAAGCAGATCGGCTTGGGTTTGGCTGTAATTGGGAATGGGCTGGGCACGGTGGCTCATACCTATAATCTCAGCACTCTGGGAGGCCGAGGCCGAAGGATCACTTGAGCCTAGGAATTTGAGATCAGCTTGGATAGCATAACAAGACCCTGTCTCTACCAAAACAAAACAAAACAAAAAAGTAGCCTGGCATGGTGGCACATGCCCGTGGCCCCAGCTACTTGAGAGGCTAAGGTGGGAAGAGCACTTGAGCCTGGGACATCAAGGCGGTGCTGAGTGTGGCTGCACCACTGCACTCCGACCTGGGCAACAGAGCATGACCCTGTCTCAAAAAAAAAAAAAAAAAGAGCCAACAGGGAAATTGTTTGGGTGATGGAAATATTCTAGAACTGGAGGGTTGGTAAAAGCTGTACAGCTCTGTAAATTTACTACAGAATCGTTCAGTTATAAAAATGGATGCATTTCATGGTACAAAAAGTTAAAGAGAAATATAGGATCCCAAAGTGGCCACTGTCCACGGTGACAGTGGTGTGCTTC